AAAAAAAAAAAAGGAAAAAGAAAGAGGAGGTGGGGAATTGGGTGGGGGGGGTTGAGGGGTTGAAAAAAAGAGCGTCTATAGAAGTTATTATGCGATTCATTTGTAACTTCCTCTTCCCCAGTTGCGCCTACCCCGAGTAGGTATATCTCTCCCCCTTCCCCTCCCTCCTTTCCCCTCCACCCCCCTTTCTCGCCCTCTCTCTTCCTATCTATATACATACCTTTTCTCAGTTTAGGCTCTCCCATCGAGAGATTCGACTCACTGGCAAAATCCTCTTTTAACCGAGAAACGTTTCGACGGGCTCTCTCTTCCGGCAAATCTTCTTACGCGCAACTCAATCAAATTCCGCACGCGCGGAGTCGTCGCTTACCGTTTCACGGTTTTCAAAACGAAAGAAACGAATCTCTCCTCTCCTCTCCTATCCTTCTCTTCCGACTCCTCCTCTACTCTACTCTATTCGTGTTCTTTATTCTTTTTTCCTACCTTTCTCTGCTGTCGGGGGAAGGGGAGAGGAAGGTTACAATTATCTTGAGAAGTGAGAGAGAGAGAGAGAGAGAGAGAGAGAGAGAGAGAGAGAGAGAGAGAGAGAAAGATATATTATTTTACGATTAAAAATTTACGCTGTGTCTACTTTTTTTTTATCCAATTATTTATCCATTTAGATATAAGACATTATTCCTATTGTAGAAATATAAAAAATAAATTTTATCTATATTATAGGCGACTGGGGAAAGTAACGTTGTTTTTTAAAATATTAAATTTAAACACGAACCGATAAATGTAATAAACAAATATTGACATGATCAAAAATTACTTTCCGGTCCCCCTCTAATATATACATATATATATATTTTTCTTTAATATTATCTTGCATCCTATATACTTGACTTTGTCCAAACTATCTATCCATTTATTTATCTATCCTATCTAAATATCTCGATATCACTTAAATGAAAGAAAACTGACGAATAAATATAATAACAAAGCAATTATTAAAAAAATACGATAAACGAATAGATTTTCTCTTGATCAAAAACTTATACATCTATCAAACTATCTATCTATCTATCTATCTATCTATCCTTCAACAGCCTATCTCTCTTTCTCTCATTGACGAAGCAGAGAATCTTCGGCAGCCACTAAACGCCGTGAAATCGGTCGACGGTAACGCGGATCCGCGGCGTAGAACTCGCGCGATTACTTCCGGCCTCTTGAGTCGCGATGTACTTTTGCAAGTTTCGCCTTGAGACTTCTACCTTCTCCTACCTATCCTCCTCCACCTCCTCCTCCTCCTCCTCCTACTCTTACTCCCTTCTTCTTGGCCATCCCTTTCCGTTCTGGCTTCTTACACTCCCCCCATCCTCACCCCAAACCCACCCTGTTTCTCAAACTTCCTCACTCCCTTGAAAACCCCTTTCGCGAACACCCTCTGTCTCGCTTCCCCTCCTCCTCCTCCTCCTTCTCCTCCTCCTACTCTTCCTTCTCATACTTCGAAGGTGCGGTTAAGCTCCGTTTACGCGGCAAAGTTTCTCCTCGCCGACTTCCTCCGAGGGAACGAACCGAGCTTTCGACGCGATCACGAACGTACCACCACACTCTTATCCTCTTCCTTTCCCACCCTGATTCTCATCCTTCTATTCCTTATCCTCATCCTCATCCTTATTCCTCTCCATCTTCCTCTATCTTTCCTCTTCTACTTCCTTCTCTTCCTTCTTCTCTAACTCTACCTACTCCCCAGTTCGCTTACTACTATTACTATTACTACTACTATTACTACTACTACTACCTTGAGATAGTTCGAAAGTGCAAGCTAAACGTGAGACATTCGCGATTTCGATACTAATTTTACTCCCTTTAATAGATCGATCCTCTCGATAAATTATCCTATTCATTTTAATCTAATCGTATTTTTTTTATTATACTTCCTGCAACACAAAATTTATGAAATATTCAATAAATTAATCAACTTTCTGATGAGTATATATATATATATAAATAATATATTATTGCATTAATATATGAAATGTTAATATTATTCGTGTTAAAAATAAATAATATATACATATACATATATACATATCCTATATACGATTAAAATGAACTTATAACGCGATGATTTAAATAAAATAAGATTTTTAATTTGGGTTTAATTAAAAAATTCGGTGTATGGGTTTTTTGAATCGTCTAATTGAAAATTTAATTTAATTATTGTTCCGTGTAAACGATTTAAATATAACGAAAGAAACGAAAATATGGAATGATAGAATTAGAGAAAGAGAATGGCTTTGACGGAAGTAGATTTTACGGTGTAAATAGCTCGTTAACGTAGCAAGAGATCGAAGTAGAGAAGGTGCGCGTTAATGTATTGGACAAACTCTGCGGCCTCAACCACCCCTCCCAACTCCTCCCAACTCCTCCCAACCCCCACTGCGTGCTTGGTTAAACCAACAAACATTGACTGACGGTATCCATCCGCGCATCGCTTTTGCTCGCACAAGCCCAAGGCACTTTCCTGTCACCACCGATGTTCCCTGGATTTGCCTTTATATATGCGTCAGAACTAATTCCGAAAACGAGATTTTCGACTCGTCGTTTGTACCAACCGTAAATCTGCTATAATCATTCCTTTTTTTTTTTTTTGTTTTCCAATCCGATTTCTTTAACATTTTTAAATTCAACCCAAAAGAAAATTATTCGTCGAAACAAAATATATATATATATATAAATAATTTTTATCAGTATGTCAGTAAATGCAAATGATAAATAAAAGAGATAATTTAGGAAATTTGAATAATCAATGTGTATTCAACGAATTCACATTAATTTTTCTTTCGATTAATTTTTATAGAAAAATAAATGAGTACACCTACACGCGAAATAGAAAGAGAGAGAGAAATTGTAATCATAGATTATTTTAATAATAAATTATTATCATTTCACGATTGTTTTTATTAAACCAACCACGAATAGTGATTATAGCAATCAGTTAGAACGATCCGTGTCACTTATCACGTACCATCAACGTAACGTTATCAACATGGGCCTTTGGAGATTATCGTGGTCAATTTGCATCAATGCCTGGGGGCGGGAAGGGGGGTGGGGGTTGGGGAGGGAGAGAGGGATGTATGCTCGGGGATAGAGGTGTATGTTCAATGGTGGTAGCAATGTTGTTGGTGTTGGTATTGGTAGTGGTGGTGGTGGTAGTGGCGGTCAGAATGTAAATTGGTGGTTAAGGGTGGTGTTTCCAAACTCTTCCCCGTACCATCGAAATACCCTAATTCGTTTACGACTTGCAAAACGAGTCTTCTGGGAGCAGGACGCAACTGGTAGCCAAACAATTTGTACTCTTCGACGCCCTCGTTCCCTCTTTCCTCCCTTTCATTTCCTTTCTCTCTTTTTCTCTCACTAAACTCACTCACTCACTCATTCATTCAGTCTACGTTTCTCCTTCCGATTCTAATCCCCAAGAGTGTCATCGTTGCCAGAACTCTCGCAGAGGAAAATTTGAACCCCCCTCAATTTTCATGGTCTAGTAACGTGAAAAATACATCAGTAAAAAATGTCTTACAATTACATTGCGTATTCAGTACGTTGGTTTTAACAATTATATCATCGACTATTCCGTATATGATTACAAAATGAAAGTGCAAGTAGTGACGGGAATGAATTGAATGATTCACTTATGGTGAATTTTGCCCTTGAATTAGTTGTACCAGACGAATTGGAAATTAACAGCAAGCGAGTTGTGGTAAACGTATAACTAGCTTGATTAAGAAGTCATTTCTCGTTTGTAGTCCGAGCGTGAGGTCCGATCCATGATTCCTTCGGTCACGATCGCGTTACGAACTATTACAAAATATCTATATCTACTTTATATTAAACTCGTCCCACAAAAATATTTCTTCGTTTTTTTATTATAATAACATTTACATTAACGCACACAATATTCGTTTATTTAATATTATGATTATTTATTAAATTAAATATGATATATATATTTTGATTTATTATTTTCTCCTATATACACATCATATATAATTTATTACTCTGTAATAATAATAATAATAAAATAAATATTAAAATATTTGTTGTTTATGATATAAACAGATTAACAATTTATGTAGACAGATGATACTACGTTGGTTTCGTTTGAAAATTATTGGAAATATATTAATGTCAGATGAAACAATTATGATCATACGTATGGATGTCAAAGTGTTCAAACAAATCAAGATAATTATTAAAACAATTTAATGGATATATACATTTATTTGTAAAATACTTGCATTGATATCATAGCGAAACTAAGATGTGTGTGTGTATCAATTAAGGTGAAAGTTTTAAATAAGATTTTAAATATCTTATCGAGATAGATATATTGTATATAAAAAAAAAAGAAAAAAAGGGACAAGGAAAGAAAGAAAGAAAGAAAAAAAAGGGCTGGATTATATAAGCTCATTGTTTCGAATTTCCCGTAGGGATCTGATTGCAAACGAATGCGGCAGGGATACGGTCTCCCTTCATAGACGATTAATCCAGTTTACTCGCAGACGTTGCTTAGGTATGGGGGTTCTTGTAAGCTGAGAATCCGCACAAACGTCCCTCCCGCGTTTAAATGTATACACATGGTAAAGAAATATGTGTACACGTATGTAAATATTTGTTTTCTTTTTTATGTGTATATATATATATATACACATAAAAAAGAAAACAAATATTTACATACGTGTACACATATTTCTTTACCATGTGTATACATTTAAACGCGGGAGGGACGTTTGTGCGGATTCTCAGCTTACAAGAACCCCCATACCTAAGCAACGTCTGCGAGTAAACTGGATTAATCGTCTATGAAGGGAGACCGTATCCCTGCCGCATTCGTTTGCAATCAGATCCCTACGGGAAATTCGAAACAATGAGCTTATATAATCCAGCCCTTTTTTTTCTTTCTTTCTTTCTTTCCTTGTCCCTTTTTTTCTTTTTTTTTTATATACAATATATCTATCTCGATAAGATATTTAAAATCTTATTTAAAACTTTCACCTTAATTGATACACACACACATCTTAGTTTCGCTATGATATCAATGCAAGTATTTTACAAATAAATGTATATATCCATTAAATTGTTTTAATAATTATCTTGATTTGTTTGAACACTTTGACATCCATACGTATGATCATAATTGTTTCATCTGACATTAATATATTTCCAATAATTTTCAAACGAAACCAACGTAGTATCATCTGTCTACATAAATTGTTAATCTGTTTATATCATAAACAACAAATATTTTAATATTTATTTTATTATTATTATTATTACAGAGTAATAAATTATATATGATGTGTATATAGGAGAAAATAATAAATCAAAATATATATATCATATTTAATTTAATAAATAATCATAATATTAAATAAACGAATATTGTGTGCGTTAATGTAAATGTTATTATAATAAAAAAACGAAGAAATATTTTTGTGGGACGAGTTTAATATAAAGTAGATATAGATATTTTGTAATAGTTCGTAACGCGATCGTGACCGAAGGAATCATGGATCGGACCTCACGCTCGGACTACAAACGAGAAATGACTTCTTAATCAAGCTAGTTATACGTTTACCACAACTCGCTTGCTGTTAATTTCCAATTCGTCTGGTACAACTAATTCAAGGGCAAAATTCACCATAAGTGAATCATTCAATTCATTCCCGTCACTACTTGCACTTTCATTTTGTAATCATATACGGAATAGTCGATGATATAATTGTTAAAACCAACGTACTGAATACGCAATGTAATTGTAAGACATTTTTTACTGATGTATTTTTCACGTTACTAGACCATGAAAATTGAGGGGGGTTCAAATTTTCCTCTGCGAGAGTTCTGGCAACGATGACACTCTTGGGGATTAGAATCGGAAGGAGAAACGTAGACTGAATGAATGAGTGAGTGAGTGAGTTTAGTGAGAGAAAAAGAGAGAAAGGAAATGAAAGGGAGGAAAGAGGGAACGAGGGCGTCGAAGAGTACAAATTGTTTGGCTACCAGTTGCGTCCTGCTCCCAGAAGACTCGTTTTGCAAGTCGTAAACGAATTAGGGTATTTCGATGGTACGGGGAAGAGTTTGGAAACACCACCCTTAACCACCAATTTACATTCTGACCGCCACTACCACCACCACCACTACCAATACCAACACCAACAACATTGCTACCACCATTGAACATACACCTCTATCCCCGAGCATACATCCCTCTCTCCCTCCCCAACCCCCACCCCCCTTCCCGCCCCCAGGCATTGATGCAAATTGACCACGATAATCTCCAAAGGCCCATGTTGATAACGTTACGTTGATGGTACGTGATAAGTGACACGGATCGTTCTAACTGATTGCTATAATCACTATTCGTGGTTGGTTTAATAAAAACAATCGTGAAATGATAATAATTTATTATTAAAATAATCTATGATTACAATTTCTCTCTCTCTTTCTATTTCGCGTGTAGGTGTACTCATTTATTTTTCTATAAAAATTAATCGAAAGAAAAATTAATGTGAATTCGTTGAATACACATTGATTATTCAAATTTCCTAAATTATCTCTTTTATTTATCATTTGCATTTACTGACATACTGATAAAAATTATTTATATATATATATATATTTTGTTTCGACGAATAATTTTCTTTTGGGTTGAATTTAAAAATGTTAAAGAAATCGGATTGGAAAACAAAAAAAAAAAAAAGGAATGATTATAGCAGATTTACGGTTGGTACAAACGACGAGTCGAAAATCTCGTTTTCGGAATTAGTTCTGACGCATATATAAAGGCAAATCCAGGGAACATCGGTGGTGACAGGAAAGTGCCTTGGGCTTGTGCGAGCAAAAGCGATGCGCGGATGGATACCGTCAGTCAATGTTTGTTGGTTTAACCAAGCACGCAGTGGGGGTTGGGAGGAGTTGGGAGGAGTTGGGAGGGGTGGTTGAGGCCGCAGAGTTTGTCCAATACATTAACGCGCACCTTCTCTACTTCGATCTCTTGCTACGTTAACGAGCTATTTACACCGTAAAATCTACTTCCGTCAAAGCCATTCTCTTTCTCTAATTCTATCATTCCATATTTTCGTTTCTTTCGTTATATTTAAATCGTTTACACGGAACAATAATTAAATTAAATTTTCAATTAGACGATTCAAAAAACCCATACACCGAATTTTTTAATTAAACCCAAATTAAAAATCTTATTTTATTTAAATCATCGCGTTATAAGTTCATTTTAATCGTATATAGGATATGTATATATGTATATGTATATATTATTTATTTTTAACACGAATAATATTAACATTTCATATATTAATGCAATAATATATTATTTATATATATATATATACTCATCAGAAAGTTGATTAATTTATTGAATATTTCATAAATTTTGTGTTGCAGGAAGTATAATAAAAAAAATACGATTAGATTAAAATGAATAGGATAATTTATCGAGAGGATCGATCTATTAAAGGGAGTAAAATTAGTATCGAAATCGCGAATGTCTCACGTTTAGCTTGCACTTTCGAACTATCTCAAGGTAGTAGTAGTAGTAATAGTAGTAGTAATAGTAATAGTAGTAAGCGAACTGGGGAGTAGGTAGAGTTAGAGAAGAAGGAAGAGAAGGAAGTAGAAGAGGAAAGATAGAGGAAGATGGAGAGGAATAAGGATGAGGATGAGGATAAGGAATAGAAGGATGAGAATCAGGGTGGGAAAGGAAGAGGATAAGAGTGTGGTGGTACGTTCGTGATCGCGTCGAAAGCTCGGTTCGTTCCCTCGGAGGAAGTCGGCGAGGAGAAACTTTGCCGCGTAAACGGAGCTTAACCGCACCTTCGAAGTATGAGAAGGAAGAGTAGGAGGAGGAGAAGGAGGAGGAGGAGGAGGGGAAGCGAGACAGAGGGTGTTCGCGAAAGGGGTTTTCAAGGGAGTGAGGAAGTTTGAGAAACAGGGTGGGTTTGGGGTGAGGATGGGGGGAGTGTAAGAAGCCAGAACGGAAAGGGATGGCCAAGAAGAAGGGAGTAAGAGTAGGAGGAGGAGGAGGAGGAGGTGGAGGAGGATAGGTAGGAGAAGGTAGAAGTCTCAAGGCGAAACTTGCAAAAGTACATCGCGACTCAAGAGGCCGGAAGTAATCGCGCGAGTTCTACGCCGCGGATCCGCGTTACCGTCGAC